AAGCCTGTCCCTTCTTTGAAACTAAAAGTCTAAAAGGCAATTTTTCCTTTGCTACATCAATGCAAATAACAATTGTGAAATAAATGATAATCTAAAGAGAAAACAGTACCATATTTTGTGTTGTACTTATCTTTTTGTCCTTTTGTTCATGAATTCACAAGTTCAATCTTACAATGGCATTACTCAAAATAATTATAGGATTCATCAGTGCTTTCTTTCTACAGTTAATGACTAAAATGAAAGAATTAATTCCAAAATGCAGAACACCAAAAACATTCCTGCATGTCTTTTAGAGATATGTTGTATGGTATTATATAATAATGAAAAAGTAACAAGAAAGGCTTTTGGTTGTTGTATCAGGGTTATTCTTTTAAGTGATGAAGTCCAAGAATTAATTGCTACTTGAAGTGGAGATACTCTAGTTTATTACTGTCATCCCAAAACTCATTTATGATCTTATTGACTGCCAGAAGACAGCAAGTTTTGCTAAGATTCATAATGTAAATGCCTTTAATTTGCACTATTGTCAGAGTACATAAACAAAAATCAATGTACTCCCTTAAAATATTTTAGGCACATGTTCTCCCATTTTCAAATTATGACTGCTGAGCTGAAATCCAGAAAACCCTGAAGCCAGCATTGTTAGGGGATTATTAGAACACCATATTAATTTTCTTTATCTTTTATCTTTTATCACATTACCCGATATTTTTTGCCTTGTGGATACCATCAACTTTCTTTGTCACCTAGTGTCCTCTTCATCTTGCAAAACCAGAAACATCATCTAGAAAAACTACTTGTTATTCTTAGAATATCAAAAAACGTTTTAAATCATATTTAATTTTTTAAAATTACTTCTTACTTTTCTGGTTTCTTAACATAGGTTCTTTGTACTTCACACAATCATGACCATCTTTTGAACCCCAAACTTAAATCTGTCACCACTTCTCAACTTACCCTCACTTTTGACCAATCTTGTGAATTACTTTTTCATGTTAACTCTTCCATTCATGAGGTCATTCAGCTTAATTTCTCCTTAAACTTTCATTAATATAAATGAGTAATAAAAATGCAATCTGGCAGTAAAGGAATATGTTTTGACATATGAAAAATATACAACTGCATTGTTTTTTTTTTAAATTACAGTAAGGGATGCAAAGTAAAGCATGAAGAAAGCAAGCAAAAGCAAAAACAAAAATATAGTAAATACAACATTTCTCTAATACAATAAATGCAACCTCAATTTAATTGTAGCTAGGAATCAGGAGAAGTGTAGTAGCAATCTTTCACATGAACAAACTTTATAAAACGGCTATATAAATATAAATTTGTATGAGTTGCAGCTCAATTGATAAGAAGTATGTAACTTGGGATGTAATATTTAACTTGGGATGGGGGAGAGAGAGGGAAAGCAGATTGGATACACAGATGCATATTACATTGAGCCTCCTACATAAAAACCTTTTACATTAACTGTGTTTGTTGAGACTTTTTGAAATTGCCTGAAACTTTTGCATGTATGTGAATTCACCAATTTCTTACTCAGTGATAGTGTTGAAATCCCATTGTTCCAAAATAGTTACTTTGAGGTATGCCATAGAATATCTTGGAAGGCTGAAATGCTCTGATAATGCTTGGTCCTTTTTTTTTTTTTTGAGTCCTATGTTGAGTCCACTGGACTTGGGTCAACTAATTATTTTCTGCAAATTTAGTCCCATTTTTCCTATGTAAAATCCAGAAAAGACATTCATGGCAAATGAGGAGGTATATCACATTAGAAAAAAAGCTGATGAAACAGCTCTAATTTTATGCATCTGAAGTTGCTGGAATCCGTAATGGCACTGAAGCAAAAGCCATCCATTAAGTCCAATAATGACAAAGTGTTGTAGGCAAGCTTTCAATAATAATAATAATAATAATAATAATAATAATAATAATAATAATAATAATAATAATAATAATAATATAATCAGTTGAGATTTTTAATGAATAAAAGAGATAATAATAATACTTAGAATGCTGTCAGCAACCTGACAGTAGTATCAACTAGTTGATAGTATCAACTATCAGCACCAGTCAATGATATTTGTGATACATTTTTAAATGTTCAGTTGACTCAGTTTTATGTTTAACTAATAAAAGATAATAATAATGTGAAGCAATTGTGCTTTACTATGGCATCTCTACAGTTAGAGATGTAGAGTCAATTTTTATCAGAATTGCAATAACTATTTAGGTGTGGCTTAATTGTTTCTGGCCATAGCAGGAGAGAGAAGGATTAAACCTCTGCCTTAAATGTCTCTGGAGATTCTGAGTCATCCTGGTCATGGTTGCCCCAAAGGTGCTTTTTCAAAAGGCAACTGTACTTTGTTTTTCCTTGAAGACATTTTGTTTCTCATTCAAGAAACTGAAGAAGCTTCTTGGATGAGATGTGAAATGTCTTCAAGTAAAAATGAAGTCCAGTTGCCTTTTGAAAAAGTATCTTTGGGACACACCCTTAAATGCACATTTTATTGCATGTATGTGAATTCACCAATTTCTTAGTGATGGTGTTAAAATACCATTGTTCCAAAACAGTCACTTTGAGGTACGCCATAGAATATCTTGGAGTCCTATGTTGAGTCCACTGGACTCAACTAATTATTTTATGCGAATTTTAACAAGCATCTATAATAAAATAAAGAACAAAACACTCAGAACCATCCTTCGAAATAAACATATTTTTCCTTTTCTTCCCCTTTTCTTTCTCGCCTCTCCACCAAAATTTTGATCAGCATGTCAGGTTACTATTTTTCTAATACATTTTCATAGAACACAAAAGTAACGAGTGGCTGTGGCTGTGAAAAGGATAGAGAATAGACACAGTAGAAGTGACAACTGTAGAAGGTTTAGAACTGGTGGCAGAAAGCATTCTGATAAAATGCTATTTTCGAACGGGTATTTCCTACATGGCAGTCATGTTATGAACGGGCAACCTCCCAAGCTGCCATTTTGTAAGAGTGTCCCTAGCTCATTCTTCACAGTCCAAATGCTTTCATTAGTCCAAAAAGGTTGTGTTATCCAGTTTGTGGATATTATGAAAACTAACAAAGAATGGAGTAGACCAGTGATGGCTAACTTTTTTGCCATCGCGTGCCAAAAGTGGGGGGGGAGTATGGGGAGTGTGGGGAGTTGTGCATGTGTGTGACCACACCCATAATTCTATGCACCCCCCCCACTGCATATGCATGTGCGTCCCCCCGTGCTCTCCCTGTTTTTGGGATGTGATGGCTGGTGGGCCCGGTAAGCCCATTTTTCGCTGTCCCCAGGCTCCATAGCTTTTCTAGGAGTCTGGGTAGGGCTACCCACCCCGGAGGCCAGAAACGGCCCACTTCCTGACTTCCGGTGGGCCCAGAAGACCCGAAAATCAGCTGCCCGGCACACTCATGTGCACTGGAGCTGAGCTTGTATGCCCACCAATATGGATCCACATGCCACCTGTGGCACGCATGCCATAGGTTTGCCATCACAGGAGTAGACAATTGAGCTATTTAGTCTAGTCATTTAGGAACTCTCCAAGCACTAAACAGAAAAACATTCCTAGACCAGTTGTGCGAAATTCTTTCATTGGAGATGTTAAGGATGGAAGATGTTAAACTTAAGTTTCTGCATTAGAGAAGGTTCTGGCATAGGAAACTCCTAGATACCTGTGCTGTGCACCTGAATTGTCAGCATCTCTCCTAGGATTTCCTCCAAGGCTTCTTCCAGAGTAGACCACTTATCCATTTTGACATGGGTTTAACTTCTCCATATAATAGAAGTTACTTCATATTACAAATATAATCAATAACAAAGGTGATATGGTAAGGAGAGTTGCAAGTTTCCAGATGCTCTGGAAAATGCTTAGCTATAGTTTAAAATTAACAGAATTAATTTAATTTTTATGTTCTCTCTCACTTCCTTTTGTATGCCACAAGGACCACTTTGAAAAGTGTTGCTTTGATTTATGATTAATCAGTTTTCATGTTGCCTGAATTTAAATAAATTGTGATTACAATTCAACCAGTCTCTGAGAAATTCACATGTAGGCAAAAAAATACATACTCTTCTGAAAACAATGTTCCTCTGAAACTGTTATCTAAAGACCTGTATGCCCACCAATATGGATCCACGTGCCACCTGTGGATCAAGCAATAACATTTTATTTTCAATAGCCCTATAAGACATGTCCTCCAAGAATTTAACTACTTCCCTTTTAAACTAACTCAAAATGATGGTAACATGGTAATGAATCTTGTTGCAATGAGCCACGTTGTTATCTGTGAAGGTTCACACAGGTTAATTCTGTGTGAAGAGTTTTTGGCGGGGGTGTCAGCTTTAAATCTCCTCCCAGTTAGCTTCATTCATCAGCCTTGGAACAAGTAATCTGAGAAAGGGAACCGTCTCCCTAATTTTTCCATGCTTGGCATAATTCTATTACCTTCTCGGTCTCCATTTTCCAAACTTTTGGAAAATATTCTAACTTACCTGGCAGGGAACATGTTTGAGTCCTTTTATCATTTTAGCTTTTTCGGTTGCATTTCATTGAACAAACCATAGTGGCTTGGTTTTCAGTCATCTGAGCAGTGAATCATGGTTCAAAAATCACATCTGCCAGGGGCTATACTTTATACTAAGCCAAAGCCCCCATTATAATTTGTGTTACATGAAAACACAGCCAGTACTGTGCCTGGTAAATCAGAGACTGTAATGAAGATCTGCTGACAAAAACAACCTGCTTTGAGCATCCTTAAATATTTTCCAGTGATAAGTGCCCTTAAATCCAAAGAATGGAGACTTGATATCATTGGAACTATACACTCTCCTCATTTCAAAACAAGAACTGAACCCAATTCTGATAATATCCTGGAGAATCTGAACTAAATCAGGGTCCTGTTATTCCCTTGCATTCATGCATTTTCCATTGCCATGTCCTGAAATACAGCAGCATCTGCTTGTCCTAGTGGCCCCTGGCTACTGTCTGCCTACTCACCAACAATGAACAGCAGCTCCTCCCTCCTGACCATAAAAGTCAACGGCATGCTACCGGCAGCTGATCAGAGCACTTTCTTCCTTTTCTACTGATCTCTTCTCTCTGGATCTTGCATGCTCAAGGTAAGAAATCTCTGGCTCTCTCTCTCTCAGTTACTCTCTCAAATCCTTCAATGACATGCCAAGAGTGCCCAAGCAGCCGTCCTCATCTGCTGTTACGTTTTGAGGTACTGTTCAATTAATGGGTCTTTTTCAATGGCAAGTAGCAAGCTGTTGTTTTAACCATGAAAGAGGATTGCTTAATTTACTGGAAAATATGTAACATCTGTAGCTACAAAAAGCTGTTTTTCCTTTCAGTAGTAAGGGAAAAAAAGGAGGGGGGTAGTGGGGAATCCTGAAATTGTTATTTAACATTTTCAGTTTTGCTTATAGTTTAATAAGAGCAAGAGAACACCCAGTAAAAGTCACAAAACATGTGTACCATAAAGGACATTAGTATTTTCCCCCTTTGCAACAGAAAGGGCTTTACTGATTGTTTCCTGAAATGTTCATTATAAGTTTGAGAAAGAACAACTTTCTGCATAGTATTGCTTTACAAGACAGGATTCTTCTGATGTGTCACTCAAAGCACCCTAATTGGATAGAGGTTTGACAGTGGGATAAAGTTTGTTGAACTGAACAGCTTGAGCCTGTGTTCAAAAAGCTGTTTCTGTCTTTTAAAAAACAAGAATGTTATACATGTTACCCCTTCGATCTTATCCCTTTTATAATATTCTAGAATTCGGTGCTAACCAGAAGACTGTTGTGTTTATAAATGACTGTCATAAAATCAGATATATTAAACGGAAAAGAGTTTGAAAACAGTTTTTAGAATACACAACTCTGCCTTCTGTTTACCAGAATATATTGTTTTTATGCCAGTGCATTCAATCAATTTGTCCCATGGCATTTAACCACACAGTCCACTTTTAAAAGGAATGCAAATCCTAATCCAGGAATGCCTGCAGAAAATTCTGAAATGCAAGCAGTCAGGAATTAGTGCAGTACAAAAAGTCACTGTATTAATGGTGGTGCTGCATAGCTTTACACTCTCTAAGACACATTTGTGCCATTCATTTCTTTGAAATGTTTTGTTCTTAATAACAAATATTGCAAGTTTAATAATAGTTATTAACATAAACATTGCATTTATACACATTGAATATTAATATTGAAAAAACAAAAGCACAATCTTAAAATTAAGTTTGAGTTGTCAAAAAATTACTATTACTTTAGCCGGTTTTCAATAATGTAAACATTTTTAATAAGTATCTGAAACTATATCTCAATAGTAATAGCAGGAAACAATCTAACCAGAAGTTACATAAGTGTCTGATGTGTCTGAAATTGCTATTAGAGTAGAGAACATTTTGCTAAGCCTTGTGCTTTTTTAAGAAACTTGGATGGAGAAAATCTGATCCCTTTGTTGAAAAACAATGCTGCATGTAATTTTTGGATCAAGAAAACCTTGTATGTTTTGCACTCAACTAGTATTTCCTTTGCAAATATCATTTATCAAATTATAGTTATTAATACCACCCACTCACCCATCTACCATAGTTAAGTGGTTGTAATTTAAGGAATGCACTGTCTGAAGAGTTCAGATTAAAATAAGATTCTGTGAAATTCCACTTATTGTGCAAGTTCTTTTTAACCAAATACTTTTGAAAATGTGTCAACCATTACTTCAGAAGAAACTGTTCACAAAATGTACTTAAAACGGAATAACTGTGTGTATCAAAAATGAAAGTTAAATAAATTTGGAATGTAAAAACTAATAATAATTTCAGTTTTTCAACATAGTATTAATTCTCCTGCAGATTAAACTACTTTCCTAATGAAACAGATCACAAATCAATCAAATATTTGATAATATTAAGTAAAAGTAAAATCAGACACAGTTTTTATTATTTATCTACAATAAATAGTAATCAATCAAACATGCAAAGGCTACAGCTTTTGTAGCATCCAGCTACAACAAAACCAAAGAGCGTAAGTGTGTATGGCTTTAGTAATTTCTAAGAATATTGAGCTGTTCTAAAAGCTAAATTTTGGCTTAATAGAAAATTCTACCACTTCTACAAGCAAAGACTTTTAGCTTTTTCTGTAGATGCTGCTAACTTTCCCCCTTCCTATATATTGTATTTTTTTCTTCTCTGGAGGCATTTTGATTTGGAAGATGATGGAGTGGGTAGATGGAATGGATCAAAGATGAGCACCTTCAGTTGTTCAAGAGGAAGGATATTTTCTTATTCTATTGTATCATGCTTCTATATACTATACACGAAGAAACAAAATTTTACTTTCTCATATTTAAGACATCAGCCTTAAGGCAATCTCTGTTCAAAACCTTTTTTTATCTCTCATGTTCTTCAGATATCATAATAGGCAGTGGTGGGATTCAAATAATTTAACAACCGGTTCTCTCCCCTAATGATTTCTTCCAACAACCAGTTTGTCAAACTGCTCAGAAAGTTAACAACCGGTTCTCCCGAAGTGGTGCGAACTGGCTGAATCCCACCACTAATAATAGGATGCATTTGATAGTTCTTAATTTTTTTTGTAAGAATTCAGTCAAGAAAAGTTAGCATTTTGTTTTATTTCATTGTGCCATATGAATTGTTAGCTGAAAGTGGAAGGAGGATGCCACAACCAAATTAAAGCAAAATTGCAGATTTCTTATTTGTTATGTGCCCTCTTGGGTTCTAGTATAAGGTTCTGAACACCAGAATATGACTGCTACTGACAGGTGGAAAGTCAAGTATCAGAAAAGTAATAAAGGAAGTGTGCAATAATTTTCAAAAGAACATGGTCATTACTTTTACTCAGTAGTTATTCCAATCTTTGGTTCATGTTACTATAACTAATTGCTGTAAGCAAAATAAATCCTTTTAGCTTGATTGAGAAAAATGATTTGGCTTGTCCAGGGTTTCATTTATATATGCCAAGATCTAAACTATGGTTTAGGAAAACATTGCATGATGGGCTCATTGGCTTTTAGAATAGTTTCAAGGGGATCAGATGTTTTCATGACTGCAATTTATTTTTATTCAAAACTAGAAAAAGATATTGAATCTATGTGTTTTGAAGCAAGCCAACTTCAAACTGATGTATGAAGCTGGCTTGTTTTCTTAAATCATATTAAGGTTAGGGTTCATCTGAAGTTTCAGATTAAATGATAAATTATGGCTGATTAACAGATTTAAATGCTTCTGTATCTCCTTGCAGCAACAGTAGATAAAGAAGTACATTTGACTTGAGCATAGAATTCTAAATCATTATACTGTACTGAAACAAACTACACACAGCACCTTTATAATCTAGACATGAATGTATTATGATCATATTTTTCATCAGTGGAGAAGTAAATAAGTAAGATTTGGGAAGGAGAGGAGTCTGAATGCTTGTAGTAAGGATTATTCCTCCAGGTAAGATGGATGGTTTATTGCTTTTAGTAATGTTTGCTTTCCTAAATTAATTTCTTCTTCGGTGATATTTGTCTGGAAGAATTCTTTGATTGTGGCTTTACTTTCTTAACCTGCTGCGCAATGAAAGGCTTTAGAATGAAAATAAAATTAACTTGTCAATAGGTCCTTCTTATTTAGGTAATTAGAAGTTTAATAGGGAAGATCAAAATCTTTTCTGACGAAATGCTAACGTTACAACAACAATTCCATCTCAGCAATTTCTGTTTCTTATCCATACTTGCACTTTGTTCAAGCTCACAACTCACCCTTCTAACACTTTTATAAATCAATCGACTTATAGATCAATCAACTGATTCTTTGGCTGTATCACACAATAGTCTTTCATGCTATCTATTCACATGACTGCATCAATCTTATAGTGAGTTTTATATTTCAGTAAAAATTTGAACTGGATTCTTCCCAGGCCCAATATTGTAACTCTTAGATTATAGTTGACTAAAGAATTGGACTATTATTATTTTTCAATTATGACTGTGCAATGTTGTACAATATTCAATTTAAAGTAATTCATTAAACAATGTTGTTTGGCTATTATACGTGTTTATTAATATTAACTTCCTGAAAGTATTAGGTGGAAAAAAGAATATTGCTTAACCCTGCCTAAAATTCTGTTCACCAGCAGAAGGAATCTAACACTTTGGATGTGTATAACATAACTATTCTTTGTTAAAAATCTATTCCTATATTTATAGATATGTAAGAGCTTTACCAGATCTGATACCCTCTATATAATTTTGGACTCCAACTCCCAGAATTCTTAGCCATTCATTTGAAGGGTAATCCCAAGACATCTGGACGAGTTTATATATTATCAGTGATTTACAATTTTTTAAAGGTTAGGAAAACATTTTAAATGCTACTTCCCACTGATTTTTCAGTAGTAAATTAAACTGAAAAGAAAAAAGGCAAATGTTATCCAATGCTTCAGAAATCTCAGTCATAGGCATTTTAGTGACAGTGTTGCATTATCTCACTGCAGCTAATAATAGTAAAGAATTTGCTGTCGGGCATGACTTATTCATTTTTTTTTTGTAACTTGAAAAGCCCTTGTTATATTTAAATTCTTGACAACTTTATAACTGTTTCAGCTGCTGTGTACCATTTCTGTGATTCTAGTGAGATTTTTCATGCTGGAAAAAAAAATCCACCTAGATATTCAATAAATTTCCAGAATCTGAGATTATTGGTTTGATTCTGGATTTGGAAATGGACTGTGTCTATGGCAGAATTAAAACATAATACAAAGTTATAATGAGTTTGTTGGGATATGAAAATTTATTCCATGAAAGAAACCTTTGTTTTTGGTAGGGTTTTTTTTTTTTCAAAGATCCCATAATTTGGAACTATGGTTTGTTGATTTTAAGCCTGACTTGGGATCTCATTTATCTATAGGCTAGTCCAAGTTTTATGCTTTCTCCATTCTTTTCAATACTGGCAGATGAAATGGAAAAAACAAACTAGGAATTGGCTAAATAAGTCATGATTACGTTGCTTCTCTGCAAGATTGACTGATTTTTTTTCTTTTTTTTTTTGGCAGATATTACCTATGAAAGCAGCATGTATGTGTTTTAACTTAACTCAATAATATTAGTAAACAGTCATTTTATTTTCATGACAGTTGGAATCACTTTAGACTTTAATCGTTAATATATATTGCAGTGCCTTGACATCTCCAACCCATCCATCAAAAGCATTTTCAA